GCCTTTATATTTTACAGAAAATAGTCGGAATTAATAAAGAAATTAATAAATTAGAAAATAAAATTATAATATTAAACGATTGTTTTGATAAAAAATATATTGATAAATACAAGCATAATTGACTTTTCTATTTATTAGGAGAAATACATCAAGCTTATCCTATATTAGGAATAGAAAACCTTGACTTGACTAAAAGATAGAAGGACATTTAAATCTTTTTATTCCTGCCACATCATTTAGTAACCCAGCTTTGTCAACAAACTTGGGTAGTGTAGCGCGATCGTAAAAATATATACTAATTTAGCGAAAATGATATTAAATATACGTTAACATACTTACCGATTCAAAGATAGAATATAAATGAATTCTTTCTGTTGAACTTTATATAAATGTTTGTTTTGTAATTGAAAAACTAGTAATGTCTTTTTAATGTAGCCTCAAGTTCGTAATTTATTAACCTTCTTAAGGATCTCTAATAAGGTTGAAAATGCCACATTTTGATAATTGAATAGTTAGGCTTTAGTGGGAATGGAAAGTATGACATGGCCTAATAGACAACTCCCCTGCTTGTACGCTCGCCATAATAATTGCCGAAAACAGTGATCCCCACCGTGGATTTCCCTTCGAACACCATCCACTTTTAATTTACCCCATCTTGGTTTCAACCAACGAAGTATTATTGGTGCTGGCATAGAGACTGAGAAACCAAAAGATGCAGACAGACGTGCCAGCACCTCCCTTAATGCACCAAATTTTTACCTGCTCTGTATTCATAGTTCTTACAAAGAATTTCACAAACCAAAAGAGATTCTTAACCATGAACCCCAAAAGAATTGAATAATTACACAAAGGAAATGAAAAATAAATATAATTAAAATACTGAAACAAAGATACACATACTAATTGATAGATGTTGCATACAATAGGATTTCCCTTCACCCGTGTTATATCTAGACTTGTAAAGGGCATTGCTGACAAAAAACCTGAAATCTAAACTGATAAAATACACAGTTTGAACATAGATTGTAAAACATACGAGAACTCATCTTTGGATCTGATCAGGTGCAAGGTTGCCAGCAGTCGACGATGAAGAGGCCCTACCAGTTAGCATCCCATTATCAGCCGGAGGGCTTGATCCCCACTTGCCTTCAGATTCCGAGGGTTCTATTACTTTAACAGACCCATCCGTCAACCCAACAGCAAATTGATTGGGGTCCAGTGGGTGTGCTGCAACCACGACTGGGTGGATAACTTGGCTTCTAAAAGGAAAAAATGACGTGGTTAGTCATACTATTTGCTCTACTAAGATAAACATACAACAAATATGCAGTTGTAGTAAAGGAGGCTTGTATCATAGTTTAAAACATGATGCTGCACAATAAACAAGCAAACGAAGCATGTGAAAGCATTTAGGAGCAAAAGTAGAAGGAATCAGTCAATTAACAATCTGGAAGTATCAGCACTAAAACCATTTAACAATTCATGCATCGAAACTATGACATGAAAAAGAAGTGGGAATGTCTCTCATTCTCCACCTGTAATCTCTCATTCTCCACCTGTAAAACCTCGAGGCCAAAAAGGACAACATATAAAGGTTAAGAAGAATCAATAGTGTTCTCACCCGTTCAATACTGCCTGGGATAAATATGCAGATGGGGCAACACGGCATCTTAATCTGAGGGTATCAGCATCAAAGACTCCAACATTACCATCGCTAAAGGAAGCATAAACTAGTTGACTGTTACAGGAGTATACTGCACATGATATAGGAGCAGAAAGGGGATCTTGCGGGACCCACTGCAATATACAAAATCCATAAGACCATGATTAAAATGGAGTTAAGAATATAGATGTCCAGTATCCAATTTACCTGACGTATACGCTCCATCTTCGAGGCATCATATATAGCTAGCTGAGTCTCGTGGGAAACTAGCAGACGAACTTGATCTGAATGGAACTGCACTCGAGTGTCACCATTAGGTGCTTTACCAGGAGGCAATTGTATAGGAACTGACTTTCTTTTCTCCCATGTGTCGATGCTCCAAATGTACAGCTACAAAATAAGGCCTTGCTAATAAATAGCAAATCTTTTAACATTTTCAAACAAGACAGATGACGAAAATACCATATTCATCAACAGAAATTATTTTCCATGTTCAGTCTAGAACATTTTCACGAAAGAGGAAGAAAACAACAAAATCTGAGAAACAGTGTCATTGCAGTTGAATGCATCATTACTTTCTTTCCTTCCCCCATTTCATCGAGACTTGAGGGGCAAGTTTGTATCATCAAATTCAAAGAACCAGGTGTTACCGAGAAACAAAAATTGAAAAGGCACAAATTTATTAATTCTATGAAACGATATTCCATTAGATTTGATATTAACCAAACATTATTACAAATGATACAAAAATCAATATTTGACTAATTGAAATTATAGGAAGGATTCAAGTATGTTTCTTAGTATTCTATACAACGTTGGATGCTATAAGTAGAAGCTTACTTGAGCATCTGCACCAGATGACACCAATATGCTAAGGTTGGTGGAAAATGCTAAACCAGAAATACGCTTCTGGTGACCTTTCAGCTTTGATTTCACCTAATAAAAGCAAAATCAAATTAAATAAGAACCATATGCACAGCACAAAAATTATGAGACATCATCAAAAACCAATTAAAAGATGTACCTCATCCACCCTGACGTTAAATATGTGGATTGTGGAATCCTCCATACCAATTGCTATAATGTTGTTATCTTGTGGATGGAACGCCAAGAAGGTAGAAGCTGGTGGAGGTGGCATAAATGTTGTCATCACCTACATGTCATAGAAAATAAAACTCTTAATGAAAAACAATCTATAAATCCATTTTAAAATTAAAGAAGTGAATCAACAGAATCTGTTGACGCACCTTAAATGTCATCATGTTGAACAATGAAACCTTTCCACCAGCAGCGGACATTACATAAGAGTCATTCTTTGAAAGAGCAATGCACGGAACTGCTTCCTCAAGGTTGACACCTGAGACATCATTGGTCATAAGAAGACCACTGGTTGGTTGCCAAAGTTGAGGAACGGCATTGGCAGTGGCCTGTAAACCACAGCATAATTCAGAAATTAGTCCATAATGAAAATCATAGGAGCAGGGGAAAAATAAAGGAAATAAGTAGATCATATACCCAAAAAAAAAAATGTCAATTTACTAATGTTACCTTTCCACCTAGATTTTGCTCATTGCGAGCCCACTTCCACAACTTCTGGATTCCATTAGATCCAAGTGCCAAAATGCCAACACCAGAATTTGTATATAGTAACCGTGCAACCTGGACAAAATATACCAGCTGAAGTATCGTATTCCAGATAAATCTTGCAACTAGTAGTATAAATTAATTAGAATACCTTGTGACCAGAATCTGTGCTATCCGGCATGTTCACCATTCGGCAATGAACAGGATCTAAAATTTCAGTCAACTGCCAAGGCTTTGATTTATCTGTAACATCATCCAATGTTCTCGTCTTTTCCATGCTTCTAGCCATGGAATCAACACCATTCTGAAAAGGACAGCTCAAAAAATCGAGATATAGTTTAATAACCACCTATATGACTACAAACAAAACGCTTGAAATAGTAAATCAATCAGTACTCGATATAGGTATAACAACCGGAACTGGACAAAAAATAGGAAAATGTTGAACCATTTGATTTACAGTGTTTACAGGTGCACCTATATCATGACTGAAAAGCTTGTAGTATTACAGATATTGAGCACTTAAGTGTGATATAAAAGGCATCTTACTCACAAGGGGGAAAAAAAACTAACAAGGTATGGTTGGCTGGCTGATGGATGCAATTCTAGATAAACTAACATTAGACACCCTATAAAAATCAGAGTTCTTAAAAACGTAGCTTCAAGCCTTACGAGCTTAAGCGAGCCTATTTGAGACTTAGGCGTAAAAATCTTTTTCTTATTTTTAATATTATTTTAAATTTTGAATCATTTAATAATTAAAATAACATATATCAAACATTGAAAATTATATATTTAACAATTCCCATCTTAGGTCAATTACACAATTTTTCAAGTTTTCAAAATGCAAAAATTAGAATATTTCTCATAGTTTCAATTTTCAACTACACAAGTCCTACTTCATAAATTTATAGAAACTTCATACATGTTTTTGGAGTTTGCAACAAAATAACGTCTCAAAATCATAATTACAAAATGTAGATAGCACCATAGTTTAAAACTTATTAAGGATGTGTTTGATGGATATTACTGATGAAAGAATGTATTTTAAATAGTGAAATGATGGGAAATATGGGTTAAAAAGTAAGGGAAAGTTATTGATGTGAGGGAAAATATTATTTTATTGAAGAATGTGTGGTTGAAAATAAGTTTTGAAATAATGTATTTTGAAAGAATGTGTACCAAACAGGGGCTAACTATTTAGATAAAGTCATTTTTAACTTTTGTATAATTAAAATCTTGTAAAAAATTGAAATTAAAGTCAAATGAAATTTTTTTAAAAAAATAAAAAAAATTAATAGGCAAAAGTCAAATAAAAGACTTCTAAAAAAAGTTAAAAAATATAAAAACTAATAAAGCAATCCTAGGGAAGACTAAAGAGAGGAAAGAAAAAACTCAGCGGTTTAGTAATTGGAAAAAATAAAAAATCTAGGCGCGAAACAAAGCGTTTTGCCTGAGCTTCGAGCTTAGAAAGTGCCTAGGCGCCGCCTAGACGAGCTTTTTTATTAAACTGATAAAAACGGAAGCTTGGCTTACATGGATGGCAGATGGCCTGACAGGAGAGCTTCTTTCCACTTTACAATTCACAGGAGCAACATTTGCAACAGAGGACCCAGAAACCTGCTCAAGAAAAGGGGAAAAGCAATGTAATTTTACACGAAAGTTCATTCAGCTAGACGTCAAGAAAGAAAATGAAACGGGACCTTCATTGCCGCTGCTTCCATGGGAGATCTTAATGCTTCAAAAGAAGGGGCTTCAACTGTCCTTAAGGATCTCATTCCAGCAGCATTTGCTAGTATCTTTACTCCATTGTCTGCTGAGGTAACAGCGAAGAGATTCCCCTCCTTGTTAAATCTCACGCGAGGAAGATTCTGCAGCAAAAAGATACTTTAGCACCTTAAGGAATTATTTATTTGAATCGTTCAAGGGAGTTCAAAGAGATCTAACTGGAATAAAAAATGCTACTTACTGGAAGACCACCCTCTGCATCTATACTTGTAAGCATGTTGACATTATCCATATCCCAAAACTTTATTTGGCTATCTTCACCTACAGCCAAAAAGTGATTCTGAGTAGTATCAAACTGCACAACACCAACTGATTTCTTTCTAAACCCATTATATGTCCTCTTTATTGCCCCTTCACTTTCATTCCACTCCACTAGGAATGAATCCCCCTCTTTGCCTGTTCCACAAGAGAACAACCTAAAAGAGGTAAAAGTGTCGTTAATAAACAGAGTGACATCATTTGCTTCTTGTTGACAGATATGAAAAAGGTGAGCGTGAAGTAAAACAACCAGCAAGAGGAAATTAATAAACAAGAGGTCATAAATCTCACCTGCTACCATCTGCACTATATAGCATGGTGGTACACCAATGCCCAGGAGCATCGTAATCAACTCTTGATCCCATATTGTCATAAAGCCAAGCTTTAATTTTCCCATCAATAGCAGTTGAGAATACAAACTGCAAACATAAGATGAGAAACAATATTAAAACACTGTAGGAAGAAATCGCCTTAATCAAAACACACTTCTGGATATGTCTTGTGGTATTGAAAAAAAAATTATGATATTAGGGATGCAATGAAGTAATTCTACAGCATTATGATCCAGGATAATGTGGAAACCTAACATGCCGCTGCTCTGAAAGTTGGAAACACAGTTGCAGCACATGAGCTACAAGAGAAAATACTATTCACAGGGCACTGCAGCAGCAAATATGTCAGCAAAGAAGTTAGGTCAAAGAGGGTTCCAGTAACAGTGTATCTCACAGTCAATGCAAGGATAGCATACTTCAGACTAATTACCATCTGGTACTAGCATCAGACATGATCTTAACAACAAATTCAAGCACAAAAGGCTAACACTGGCAGAGAGCAATTATTTCTGTATCATTCACTTGATTGTAGTTTCAAGAGGCTGAAAGACCAAGACGATTCTTTTCATTCTCTCCTATTTCGATTCTCGAAGGTAAGGATGTGTTTCATTGTTTTGTTGAAGATATTAACACAAATAAATTAATTTCACCCCTCTATAATGTCTTAAGAGTTTAGTCGATGTGGTTCAACGTAATATCGAATTAGCTGAAGTCATAACTCCCCACCACCCTCTTATAAAAATTCAAAGGGTACACCTTCGATTAAAAAATAGATATGGCATTTTTCAGGCATATGTTGAAGATGTAATGACAGAAAACAAATTATCCCCTCTTTAACAGTTGAAACTTTTAGATAGTGGTTCAACATATGTAGACACTCTGATACACTTGGCATCTGCAACTGTAAGTCTAAAATGCAAAGGTCCTCCAGACTATAATTATTGCACTTCTCCTTTACCATAATCAACTCCAATAAGAAAAAAATAGAAAAAGAAAATTATCATTCGAAATAACCTATGCAATGTTGCAGAATATCTTTAGCAAGAAATAACAAAAAAAATATTGAACTTTGTTATCAATCTCCTGAAGAATCCACAAAAGTTAAAAAAGGATGGCAGCAACAAATCAAAGAGGAAAGAAAGACAAGTACAATCTACAACAACTGAATTAAGAAGAATTATTAACTTGACATAGCTTATTTGCTTTTTCAGTAAATGTAAAATTGTCATATGAAAGGTATTCTGCATGAAAAGATAGTATGTTCTTCCTAAAGCATGCCAGTAAGAAATCACAAGATCAGTGTTCTTTCCATATAAACCATGGTTTTCCACTTTACTAGCATACCTGAATATTCTCTTTCTGATGAGGACATATAGAATAAACTGGTGCTTCATGCCCTTCAAAGGTGAATAGTTTTCTTCCAGTAAGATCCCACACCTGTTTCAAATCTCTCCCTCAGCCCTTTTTCTTTATCCTAAATGAATCTGGGCCTACAAAAAGGAATTTGAAGTTTCCCACTCACCTTTATTAACTTGTCATCCCCACAAGTTACAACACACAGCTGCTTGTTTGGATGAGCAAAGGCAATGTCATTGACTCCTCCAGTGTGGGCATCAATCTGCAAGCAGAAAATGATGAATACCAAATTTTTTTATCATTACAATTTTTTACCTTGGTGATCAAACAAGACCAATTCTGCATACCTCTAGATGCTGGCGTAAATCATTTGGTCCAGCATAGGCATACAGATGTATTAAATGCTTGGAAAATGCAGCTCCTGCAACATGTAACAACATTGATGAAGATTTTTTTGGAGAATTATAGGAACCTTCTAAAACAAAGTATTCTAAGAATAAGCACATACCACAAAATGTTCCATCTGGGCTCCATGTAACACGGCTTACAGAAAATGGTGCATCTTTGGCAGCAGAAGCCTGTTCAAATTCTCAAGATGTGAGAAATCTAAAAGGTTAATAAAAACAGGAAAGAGTAACATTCAAGTGCAAATCAACAAAATTATCCAGAATGCAGATATGACCGTGTATGAAATTCTTTCCAAAATTTTCTTATAGCGAGTTTAATGTTAAATACAAGCAATCACTCGTCTTGCCAAATGAGATCCATTACACTATACAGTCATGGAGACAAAGAACTGAGTCTGAAGACAAATAATATTCAAATTATCATTTCATGCTTTCATATTATAAGATGACAGGTATAGAAAGACATGACTATCTATAACAGACGAGATACAAACCTGAAAACTAGTGGTACACATTTGCCTATCCCAGATCTTGAATGGCTTTGAGACCAACTTTTCACGCATCCCAACCTCCCAAAGTGTTATTTCACCATTATGACAACCAGCTGTTATAGAGGAATTCTAGAGTCAAATAATGATAAACTAAAGTTGATCCATATTATAGGGAGAAAGAGGACAATGTTCAGAACAAAATATCCTGAGAAATGTCATACCAAGGAGCAGGGTATGCTGCGACGGATGAAAGTCCAGGCTTGTGACAGTGGATCCTTGATGAAGCGTGAAAGCTACAGTTCTCGGCAAGTCATCAAGGGACCAAGACACTTGTTGACGTACTGTAGGATATGAAACCTAAAACAGAAGAAAGAAAGAGAAGGTGACCCTTACTGAGAAAATGATGTATTTTTGTCGAACTGATCGTATCACAGAAACCATAACATTACCTCCTCAACAGATTGTGCAGGCCGCAATCGTTTCATCAATTGCTCATGATCAGCATTCTGATAGTCAACCATGCCAAGCGTAGCTGGAGGTGTGATTGGGCGCTTCAACATTGAAACTGTTCATAAATTGAAAGGAGAAACATTAAATTGCATATACACAACACATTTAAAATCATTTTTATCCCACCATACTGGGGTCGGGAAAAAGATATCTTAAAATATGTTCAGAAATTGAACAAGTCTATTGAATCGATCTTCTACATAAAAGCAGCTTCTTGAAAGCCAGGTACAATTGAAGGTAAAAGCTCTCACCTTGATTTGGTTGAACAGGTAAGGACGAAGCTGTAACGACGGCTGCTTGAACAGATGAAGAAGCGGTTGCATTAGTCATCCAACCAGCTAAAGCATTAGCATTGGCTGCCGCTGTTGGTTGAAAAGGCTGCAAGCAACAAACAGAAGTGGATAAAAAAAACGTAAGGAGAATCCTAATATAGCCATGAATGAATGTTGATGATGTATGCGTCATACCCCATGTGCTCCGATTGACATATAAGCAGTAGGCTTTGCAACTGCAGCAGCAGGTAGATTGACAGGTGTTGGCGCAAGACTCCCATTTGGAGGATTGCATGTATGGTCAGTGAATAAGGTTTTAATGTCTGGGTTTGGCCTTGGATTCTTACAGAGCTGGTGCTGCCAATTCAGACTGCACAGAAAGCAAAGTTAAATCTATTGATACAAGACACAAACCAAACAGTGAAGAGCATGATAAGCTAACAGATCTAAACAATGAACACAAACACACATCAAATATACAGAACCTTGGGGACAAAAAAACAAGACAGATAGGTTTAAATGTTAAAGTATTAGAATGCTCCACTTGCTTTAAGAAAGTTCACCTAGAAAAGCAACATCATACATAAAAAATTGTAGATGTTAGAGAAAAACGAACAAATTAAGCAGGAACTGAATGATAAATGTACGGGTTTCAACTTGTTCAAATAGCTGATGATCGATCCCATGCGGAAACAAATAATTTAATAAAAGAAGGTCCAAAAGGACATTGAGGTTGGGGCCAAACCCCACTCACTTTTATGCTTAGAACATGACTAAATTTCAAAACAGAAGTCAGAAACTCGTGCAATAATACACACATTCGTAACGGAGAAGACCAATTTTACCTTTGATTAATAAGGGTCCTCAACCTAGATGACTTCAAAGTAGGGAAAACAAGTTTTTCACGGAAAAGCGGATTTGCTTCAATTAACTTTTTGAGCTCTATCAACATTATGCTGCGAGCTGTTTTAGTGTCACCATATTTGGAAAGCTGCTCATTTTCCCTGTCATCAGTGAACATGGGTAAGCTTTGACAAAAACTTAAAGTTCACAACTACAATTGCCACTTAAATCAAAAATAGACACACTTAAGTAGCACCAAATATCATCAGACAATATGCAAGATTTATCCCCCGTTTGGCCCCCATTATTTCCCATTAAGTTATAATTCATTTTTCTCTCTCTTCTCATCAACCACATATTTTCCAATAAAATAACATTACACATAAACCCAAAAACTTTTCCTTTTTTTAACCACACATTCTCCAAAAAATTAATATTCCTCTCATTATAATGTGGAATTATTGGGGCCAAACAGGATGTTAGAAAAGGAGAGAATTGTACTTAAAAATGTCTTTCTTATATATTAAACATGAAGTTACCAAATAAAAAATCTTATGGCGGCTTGCTCAACCAAATTTCTCCAAAAAAAAACTGCCTCAAAATTGTGAGATTGAATAATATGTTGCGAACTATTCAATTTCTAGGGCTCTTGCTCATGGTGTTTACTTAAGGAAATGTGCAATGCATCATTGCACATTTGAAGAATTTACCAGCCAGCTTTAAATATGTAGTATTTTTCGATTTATGAACCTCAAGATGCAAAACCTCTAAAAGCTGCCATTATTTACATTTCCATTAAACACGTAAAATATATCGCAAACTTCAAGTCATTTGAACCTTCTATGTTCCATTTTTCATCATAAAAACATACGCCTTCTGAACTTCGTATGATGAAGTTAACAGTCATTAATGGTCCCTATTATGACCCTACAACCATTTCCTACCGAAAGCATATTTCTCGTCTGCTTCAGTTTTAATAATTAAAAGCAGAGAATCACATGTTATCCACCCAATGCCTCAAAGTTCTTATTTTACCTAGCAAACAATTGATTTCAGCTTTAGATGAATAGTCAGTAATGACATGAGATCAAATTTGAGCATAAATAATAGTACAATTCCAATAATATAAAGTTCACCCACGTTAGCTTCCCAACGGCATGAGTTTTCTAGTAATATGCATATAAATTTTCAATAAGTACCAGGTCACTTGCTAGAAAACAATGGACTTGTGGGTGACATCCATGCCTTCCTAGTATACTGATCCCGCACTTTTCTTAACTTTATGAATGTTACAAAACTAAAAGACTTTATTTCCAAATCTTGGTAGGAAGTTCTTGGGTATGTATTAGGCATTTGCCAATGCTCACCAAGCTACCAAACCAACCTTGTCTATATCTTCTGTTGTGCTCGAGTCATGTATCAACTAAGTGGTACATGTTTCTTATCGTAAAAATTAAGAGCATTGACCTCAACCAAGACAGAATCCAATTAGGCTTGAGTAGGTTATATTTCCAATTAAAGTGAAGAGATGGAGATTCCAAAAAAATTTAAATATTTTACATCCATTCCCTCAGTTTCTAAAATATGGACAATGAATATTCATAATCATCTCACGACAAACAACTTACAATTAACAAATTAAGCCTTATTCCAAATGCAATGAATTTGGGGATTCAAGAACATATTACCATTTTCAAATTTCAATATGCTCAAGTCTTTTTTTTTTTTTTTTTTTGAAGTCTTTTCGAATTTAATTTTCCTGTTAGTACATTTTGAAGGGATTAAAATTAAAGAGTTCATGAAGCTAATAGTCAAAGATGTCTATAATCTGAATATAAAACAAGAAATCTGCACCAAGTCAAATATGAATCACAGCATAAAGAACGTGTCATCTTACTAGGCTAATGCATTGATGCACGTTGTAATTAACTAACGAAAATCCACAATACCTGAAATTGCCAAGTGTTAACAGCTGAGTAATTTCTTTGTATAGATCCTCATTAAATGTCGAGAAAACTTTCAAGTCATTCACCAGTATCTCAACTGCCTTTGCCTTGTCTTGCCTGGAGGTATCAATCAATAGGCATAGCATGCCCAAAAGGGTAAAAAAAAAAGAAAAAAACCAGAGAGTACACTGATTAACCTCTTTCTTTTTATATACACGGAAAAATGTACAGAAAGTTTTTGAGTAAATTCTCAGTATACCGGTCAAGAGCTTCTAGATACTTCTGCTTTCTTATCTCAAAAAATATCTTCATGGAGTATCTGTTGTCGTCAACTTTTGTAAAACCAGACAGGTACTTCTCAACTTCCTCCCATTCACCAGCATGGACTTTTTCCTCAAAGTACTTCATGTTAAAGAAAAACCCTGATTCTTGCTCAAGTCTACAAAACAAAGTGCATACAGCATTAATAAGGCTAACCATTTTTCGAGCTCACCCGTCTAAACCTAAGCTTCGCAATCTAGCTCAACTCAACATCATAAGCGAGTATGTAATCGAGCAAAGAGATTTGTGAAAGCAATATACTACTGTTGTCCCTAATTAACTACATAGACCTCATAAGTTCCACTAGGTACCATTATTTTCATTTACCAATATTAACAAGATCTAACCAAATGCAGACTTCATCAAATTTTCTACATACTTTTCGAAAAAGGTACTTATACGGTTATACCTTGTAAGCTCGGCCAAGCATGCTCAAATACCTATCTTGTACAATTAACGCAACAAATCTCACTTCCAATTTTTCAAAACCCACAACAAATCAAATAAAAAGCAGAAACTTAAAATTCATCAATCAATTAAACATTGAACATAATCGCATTAATTAAACTATATTTTTTTCATGTTTTCAAAAATATAAAAAAAATTAAAACCCAATATTTTAACATTTTCCCATAAAAAACCAAACTAGACAAAAGCATACGAAACACGAACAAAAATGAAAAAAATACAAATAGAACTTATACGCAACATATATATATAGAGCGAGAGAGAGAGAGTCAGAGAGATTACTTGTGAACAGACTCCTTGAATTTCTCCTCCTCCAGGAACTGTAGTATAAGGAAAACCAATTCTCTGCTCAACGACGACATTTCTTATTCCAGATTTACAAATCCAAACCGAATAAACAACAATAAAGTTAAACAAATCAACAGATCGAAGCCCTAGAAACAACTCCAGCCAACCGCCGACGTTCTTCAGCTCCAGATTTTCTAGGGTTTCTCTAAAATCACACAGAAAGGGAACAAAGACTGGTATGAAAAAAGGCAGGAAAAGAGAGACGCAGAGAGAAAGTACTTATATAGAGAGAGATTGTATGTATAAATTGTAGAGAGAGAAGGTAAGAGAGATGTGGTGGTGGGGAAAAATAGACTCGGTCTCGCTGTCTTCGATGCCTTTGGCAGTAGTCTATCCTCTTCACTGACTTATCACCGATAAGTCCAATGACTTATCATAATTCGTTGTCTTATCACAGATAAGTAATCATCGTTGGTTGGAAAGGATGTGATTGCGGATTTGAAATGTGGAATTCAAATCTAGTTGAATATTGGGTTTGGGTTACACTAGTGTCGCTTTCCTCGCGCATTAAATGCCGATACGCTAAATTGTCGCAATATCGTTCGTTTTATCGCATCGTATTGACACATGCAATGTCGTCACAGAAGTCGGAGTTTCCGTAAATGGCTTAATTACTCATTAAAGCACTCGCCGCGCTACAGATATAAAGTGGTGCCCTATTTTGCACTATGTAGAATGCTTCAAGTATCAACTTCATATTAAGAGCTTGTTTGGTAGGGATTTTTTAGGGGAAGAATTGATTTTAAATAGTGATATGATGGGAAATATGTGGTTGAAAAAGAATAAAAAATTATTGATGTGATGGAAAATATTATTTTATTGAAGAATGTGTGGTTGAAAATGAGAATTGATTTACTGTAGAAAATAAGAATCCCTACCAAACAGGCCCTAAGTGCTTGTTTGGTAAGAATTTTTGAGAAAAAAAATTGATTTTTAAATAGTGATATAATAGGAAATGTATGGTTGAAAAAGAAAAAAAATTATTGATATGATGAAAAATATTATTTTATCGAAAAATGTGTGATTGAAAATGAGAATTGATTCCAAATCAAAAACAAATACTCCCTAAGTTTCTGTTTGACAATTATTATTTCAAAAATTTTTAATTTTCGTATTCATTTTTAATCATACATTTATACAATTAAATACTTTACACGTAAATTCAACAAAAAAAATTCCACTTTTTAATCATATATTCTAAAAAAATCATGATTTAAAACTCAATTTTCTTAAAATAATGGAAATTAAGCACGGCTAATTCTCTACTTGATCTCATAAAAATTACATTTTTTGTTTATGATTTTAATTTACATTAATAAAATATATGATTAAAAGTTAAAAAATTCCTTTTCGACCAA